GTGCACATCAATGCCACATATCAGTGCCCATCTGAGCTGCCTTTCAGTGTCACCCATCAGTGCCACCTATCAATGCCAATCAGTGCTGCCAATCAGTGCCAGTCAGTGCCGCCTATCAGTGCCAGTCTGTGCCGCCTATCAGTGCGCATCAGTGCCGCCTATCAGTGCCATATATCAGTGCCATGTATCAGTGCTGCCTTTCAGTGCCCATCAGTGATGCCTGTCAATGCCCATCAATGCCACCTATCAGTGTCCATCAGTGCAGCCTATCAGTGCCCACCACTGCAGCCTCATTAGCATATATCAGTGAAGTAGAAAAATCACTTATTTACAAAATTTTATAACAAAAACTAAGAAAAAAGTTTTTTTTTCCAAAATTTTCAGTGGTTTTTGGTTTGTTTAAAAAAAATAAAAAACCCAGAGGTGATTAAATACCACCAAAAGAAAGCGCTATCTGTCACAAAAAAATTATACAAATTTCATATGGGTACAGTGTTGTATGACCGCGCAATTGTCATTCAAAGTGCGACAGCGCTGAAAGCTGGAAATTGGCCTGGGCAGGAAGGGGGTATAAGTGCCATGTAGGCTAGCAGTTAAATTTGCACCTGCCCATGCAACAGCAACACGCAACATCAATTTTGCTAATCATAGGCAACAATTTAAAAGCCTTTACAGGTTACCAGTTTAGATTTACAGAGGAGGTCTGGTGCTAGAATTACTGGCCATTATCTGACGTTCGTGGTGATACCTCACCTGTGTGGGACGATTGCTGTTTGCGTACGTGCGGGACGAACACGTGCATTGGCCTTTGCGCGCAAGCACAGGGGGGACACGGGCACTTTAATTTTTTTTTTATATTATTTTTTACACTGTTACTTAAAAAGTTATTTTTCATCACTTTTATTGTCACAGTGAATGGAAACCTTGTGAAAGCAATAGGCATGTGACAGGTACTCTTTATTGAGGGATCTGGACCCTAAATCCTCTTCTTCCCTTAAAAGCATGCAATCACATGAAGATCGGTGTGATTGAATGCTTTTGTTTTTTTAAAAATGGCGCGTTTAGTTCTAAATAAATCAGAAGAAGTGCTGTCAGGTCTTCGTTTTCGGTTTCCTATATTACAAAGCTGAACAAAGCCGACCCAGTCTTTGTCCGGCTCTGTGACCAGCCAGAAGCTGGTCAGTCTGGACTCCTGGTGGGACAGAAGCTCCTGCTAAAGCTGCGGAGGAGGGGGGGTGAAACATCCCCTCCAGCTGCTTGTAATAGCAATTGAGTGGTTAGTTAGCTGCTTCGATTGTTATTACAACAATCAGCTCTAAAATACGGTACCAGGATCATGCCTGCAGCTGCAAGCATCATCCTGCTACAATGGCTTAAACTTCAGTGACATATGGGGACATCACTGGAGCTGAAGTGGATATTATGTACAGTATATCAAAGCTGCAGAATTTGGACAATTTAAATTGCTGTGCTTATTTATAGATTTTTCAGGAGAATTGCTCCTCAAGAACATGTGGTTCTGTAAAGTAATACTACGAACCAGCCCTTTAATATTTCACCCATAATCAGGCTCTCATTATAAACAGGGCTAATAGTCTTGATAGATCAGTAATTACAGTTATGGCAAGAAAAATGGCAAGGTGTCATGACAGGGCAGTTATTTCAGCCTGCTGCAGATTACTAAAGTATACATTTAGACTTCACAAAGCTGAAGTCACTGGGAAACCTTACTTAGAAGTCATAGACTATCAAAGGAAAAAAAAAATACATATTCTATTATGCCAATTATGCAGGGACAGAGGTTAGAGGTATATACACTTTCCCATGAAATAATTCTTCCTTGGTTGTTAAATGCTGGCGTTTCAAGGATATGGATCATCAGGGTGATGAATAGAAATGTACAGATAGCCCTGGAAACTGTTATAAAAATGCAAGTATGTGAGCTATGAAGACATATACTGTGTATTAAATGTCGGAAATGTATAGGAGGGGGGGGGGGGGGGGGGGGGGAATCTAACATACATAGATGTGTACAAAAAACATTCACTTATGACCAGAGGACTGTACATATTTCATTTTTCTGTATCAGGGTGAATATGTATACACTGATAGGTACTTTTAAAGTGACCCTTTCGCAAAATTAGAAAATAGAAATTGAAGTGTTACTAAACACAAAACAGTAAAATCAGTCTGTATATGCAGTTAAGTATACTTGTTATACTCACTGTGGAACCTAAGGAGTTAATCCTCTGCATTGTGTAAAAAGGTTGTTTGATCCCAACTTCTCTGCTCCTCCTCTTGTTCAAATGTCCATGTCTTATCTTCTGATAAGACAGACTGAACTGTAGCAATTCTGCACATGCTCAGTTTGGTGTGTATTGCTAGAGAGGATTTTTTTTTTTTTCTTTCTTAGGAGAGTGCATGTGATCAGCACAGGGCCAATCAGCACTGTCCAGACAGAGGTCAGGGGTTTTGCATCCTCCTAGAGCAGAAAGAAAAACTCCTCTTACAAGCTTTAACCTGTGCTCAGCTGAAGCCACAAGACTGCTCTAACTTCTGATGAGAAAAGGTATTTAGCAGTTTATACTTACTAAAATAATTGCACTTCCATGTTGTGTTACTGTGGAGACCAGATATAGTGAATGCAGTGTCCTGGGTTAAGTAACACTTTAAGCTTTATTTTTCCACTTGAACAGCATTATTGTTACAGTGCAGTCAGACCAGTTACTTTTGTGTCAGTTAAAGCAACTGTGTAACCATAATTAACTTCTTTAAACTTACTTCAGCCCTGTAAGGTATCCCCCCCCCCCCCCACCCCCCCCCCCCCCCCCCGATTCCTGACCAGCCTAACTTTTGCTATTTGGCACTGCACTGTTTCCACTGGTAATTGTGTGGTCATGTAACGCTGTACAAAATTTTTCACTCAAAATAGAGCTTTCTATTGGTGGTATTTGATCACCACTCGTTTTTTTTTATTTTTGTGACAAACTAAAAAAGATTTTGTAAAAAAACCCGCAACATTTACTACTTTCTGTTATACAAAAAATCCAATAAACTCAAATTTAGTCATAAATGTAGGCCAAAATGTATTCTGCTACATGTCTTTGGTAAAAAAACATTCCAACACGTATATAGTAAATGTATTCTGCTACTTATCCAGAGTTAATGGGGATACCACAATGTGAGAGACTTTTTGGCAGCCTAGCCACATACAGGCTCCCAAAATCCAATGACCACCTTCAACCTTTTTTAAAGGGAATAATTTCCTCATATCACTTCCTCGCTACCTATCACAATTTTGGAGGCCATGAAATGCTAATAATAAAGGTAGCACAAACCCTGTCTGCTTTCCAAAAATGACCACTTTTTGGAAAGCAGACACCCCAAGAAATTTAAGATAAGAGGCATTGTAGTATGGTTTTTCAGATATCATTTTTTTGTCACATTCCCCCCACACGGAAATTAAGATAAGACCCCCATTAATTTTTTTGAAGAACAAAAGAAAAAATACATTTTCTTTCTTCATTTTTCCAAAAACCTGTGGTGACAAATAAGTGTGGGAGTTCTCCTCAAAATCCGTACCAAACCTGAAGGGCTTTTTATGGAGGGGGGGGGGGGGACCCTCGCCTGTTTTTTTTTTAATTTTAAATTGCACGCAGTTCTTATTTTACATTCAGCTGATCAGGTGACAGCTGATGACTTATCGGTTGTTAAGAGCGCAGCAGCTGTCCACACCCTACAACCAGATTAACATAACATATGTCCTCGACCACTACTTAAATACTGCATGCATTTATTTAGTTATTTCCCTCTGTGAATTTACTTTAAGGTCTTTTCATGTGGTATTTACCGAGCATTTTTGCTGTTTGCAGTAAATAGCAATAGTGAATTGACATTTTCAGTATCGCATGTGTCAGGAATGGACTCGCCAATGGTGGTGGGACTCACCTGCCTTGTGGGCTGCAGTACCAGGGCTGGCCAGCGGGTGCTCTTGGCAGCCAGAAGCTCACTCCTGCAATCAAGCCATAACCTGAGGCTGATTGCAGGAGGTGTATTTAAGGAATGGGCCAGGCCTGCCTTCAGTCAGGGCCTTGGTGTATTGTTCCCATGAGCCCCTGTATCTGCAACCTGTCTGCTTCCTGCCTGATCCTGACTCTGCTTGATCCTGACTACCGACCCGGCCTGACTACGTTGTGCTCTATATTTATAAGATATATTATCAGTTAAGGTTTTGGGTTTGTTGCACCTTAGGGGAGAGGTTGTACGATATTTTTGTGTTAGTTTTGGGTTTGGTTTGTTGCATCTGTGTTTGTTTGTGTTGCCCTTAATTAATTTATATTGTTTTTTCACGCTATAACCTGAAGTCTGTGTTTCCCTGTGTCGGTCCACACACCTCTGGTCATTCCCCGGAGCCCTGACACTGACATTACACCAAGGCCAGTCCTGACCAGAAGTGGCTGCACAGGGAAGCCATCTTGGCTTGTTGTTGGGAAGGATGCATCCTGAGGAGGTTGTGTATTTGTCTCTGCTAGTCTTAGATGACAGAGATTATGCCTATCAGACTCTGAAGGAGTATGCCAGGGATCAGCTGCTAGAATGCATACGGATCGCTCATTTCCTAGTAGATCAGGGCACGGAGTTCTCTGAGGTGCAGCCATTGATTCAGGCTTGTGCGGAGTTGGCTTCATCTAGTACCCCTAAAAGCAGGAATGACTTTTTTTGCCACCATTTAGTGCAGACCAGTAGAGTCACTGGTATGGTTATTGGAGGATGATGCGGATTACTTCTTGGAGCATTATTCAGCATGTTCACAACATGTGCTAGTGGATTGTATTAAAACGCAGTGCAGTCTTTGGTCAGACAGGCTATGTGTAAGCTGAGCTTTGTTCAACCAATACTACAGTCCTGTGGTCAGACTTGTTACACCCAGCCTGAGTTCAGCTTGCAACAACCCAGTCCTGCTTCTAATCATTCCTCTGCTCAAAGCTCTCTTCCTCCATTTCCCACAGCACCCCCAGTTACAGCCCAGTATACCCTGCTATCTACCACATGTCAGTCCCCTGTTCCCACTCGCTGCAACCTATCCTGCCTTTAACCCTGTAAAAAAGAAGCTGCTCCCTCCGTTTACAGTCCTGCGTTTACTTACAGTGCTCCAGTAACTAAAACCAAGAAGCGAAAATTCTTTCCAACCAGTACCATCCTGCCAGTATCCAAACCGGTCAGCTTGCTGTCTGAGATCCCGCCTTCTGTTATCCAGTCTGGTGCCCCGGTGCCCGCTGTTCAGCCTGATGCCCGGATGCCTGATTGACCCAGTATACGCTACCCAGCCTGATGACCCGATCCAGCCTGATGACCCTACCCGGCCTGATGATCCTAGCCACCCGGCCTGATGATCCTACCCGGCCGATGACCCGATCCAGCTGGATGACCCGATCCAGCCCAATGATCCAATCCAGCCCTATGATCCGATCCAAGCCCGGTGCCCCGCTGTCCAGCCTGACGCCCCCGGTGCCCCGCGGTCGTGCCAGACGCCCCGGGGTCCGCGGTCGTGCCAGATGCCCTAGTGGCCCGCTTGTCTTGCCAACGACCCAGTGCCCGCTGTCGTGCCAGACGACTCGGTGCCCGCTGTCGTGCCAGACGACTTGGTGCCCGCTGTTGAGCTTGGTGACTCGGTGCCCGCTATTCTGCCAGATGACTCGGTGCCCGCTGTCGTGCCAGGTGACTTGGTGCCCGCTGTCATGCCAGGTGAACTGGTGCCCGCTGTCGTGTCAGGTAACCTGGTGCTCGCTGTCGAGCTTGGTGACCCGGTGCCCGCTGTCGTGCCAGATGACTCGGTTGCCTGCTGTCGAGCGGGTGACCCGGTGCCCCGCTGTCCTGCCAGATGGCTCGGTGCCCGCTGCCGAGCTTGATGCCTCGGTTGCCCAAGCTGCCTTGCCTGATGGCCCGGTGCCCGCTGTTTTGTGAGCCTGATGGCCTGCTGCTCCCGCCTGATGGCCCAGTGTCCACTGCCCAGCCCGATGTGCCTCTGCCTGCTGCCCACCCGATGTGCCTCGGCCTGCTGCCCAGCCCGATGTGCCTAGGCCTGCTGCCCAGCCCCATGTGCCTCGGCCTGCTGCCCAGTAACCCCATGTGCCTCGGCCTGCTGCCCAGCCCCATGTGCCTCGGCCTGCACCGACCTCGGCTACTTCTGACCAATCTTCTGCCTTGAATTGTCCCCTGTGTGTCTGCTTTCTTTTTCTACCTCATCTTTTTTCATTTGTTCTCCTCCTGGGCCCTGGTGTTTATTTTTTAATCAAGATATATTATTAGTCCATGGACATGAACACTAGTCTCACTAATCAGCACAACATTGTTGGTACCCTCCCTCACCACTCTCTAGACCAGGGGTGGGCAAACTTTTTGACTTGAGTGCCGCAATGGGTTCATATATTGGACCCGGGGGCCGGACTAGCTGCTGGTCGGCCCAGCCACTACCATGCCATCCATAGTAAGTATAGTAATATTCCCCCATAGTAAGCATAGTAATTAATCCCCCATATAGTAATTCATCCCCCATAGTAATTCATCCCCCATAGTAATTCATCCCCATATAGTAATTCATCCCCCATATAGTAATTCATCCCCCATATAGTAATTCATCCCCCATAGTAATTCATCCCCCCTATAGTAATTCATCCCCCATAGTAATTCATCCCCCCTATAGTAATTCATCCTCCATAGTAATTCATCCCCCATATAGTAATTCATCCCCCATAGTAATTCATCCCCCCTATAGTAATTCATCCCCCCTATAGTAATTCATTCCCCATATTAATTCATCCCCCATATTAATTCATCCCTCATATAGTAGTAGTAAGTAAGTAGCAAGTAGTAAGCCAAGTCCCCCCTGTGTCAATTTACCTACCTTTGCTCCGCGCATTCTTCTCGCCGTGTTCCCGCGCCGTTCTGGTCTTCAGGGCGGACTGTGAGAGGAGCCTAGCTCCCCTCACGTTCGTCACGCTGCCCCGCCTACACACATCCTGACAGCCAATCACTGGCTATCAGGATGTGAGTGGCAGCGAGACTGGCCAATCATTGCATTTGAGTGCGCTGCCCTGGCTGTTTTTTTTTTTTGTATCACGCTCTGCGGGCCGGATTAAAAGGTCCGCTGGGCCGTATACGGCCCGCGGGGCCGTAGTTTGCCCATTGCTGCTCTAGACACATGCTATTTTGTTTCTGCCTTTTAGGTCTTTTCACTTGATTCTGGCGGATGATAGACCTTTTAATCCCATGCATGTATTTCTAGGTGCTACTCCTTGGTTTTCCCCTTGGGGTGCCATGTTTTTTTTCCCACAACTCTTGGGCCAGATACTTGGCAGCAATTTCCATTTGGAGGTGTTATTAGAGGCATAACATTATTAGGCACTAGCTCACAATTTTATTATCTTTATGGGACTTCCCTTCCCGCTACTTTTAAAAGCAATCCAGGGGCTACAGTATTTAGCCACTAGGATTGCTTTTACATGAAAGCCGATCGCCAGCTGAAAAAAAACAATACCAGGATGATACCTGCAGTCTAATAAACCACTCAAAGCTCAGTGACCTACCAGTATGTTGCTGGTCTTTGCTGAGCATATACGTAATGTTCTCTTTTTTTTTTTTGTTCATGAGAGTGTTATCACTGAAATGCATGAAGCGCATTATTATCTCTTATCTATACTTGGCCATGGCAGCAGAGAACATGGGCATATGATGAATTGGGTCTCTGGACCAATGTGACAGTAATTCATTCTTTTTTGTAGTGCCCATGTTGAGGGTTAGGCCCAAAAAAGTTTTACTTTCAGAAATCATGATGGGTTTCCATGTGAATTGTCTGGCAAAAGCTACATTTGGGTGGGCGGTGATATATTGTTGTGCGTATAAAATGCTTTGGCCCACAAACAATTGATACAAATATTCTGTGAAAAACAGCGGAGGGGGCTAAATGCTAGTCCTGGCAGTGAACGGGGCTGATCCTGCTAACACTGCATTTTTTGGGGACTCTACACTAAGAAGGCACTAGTATAGTTCTGTTCGTGATCAATATATCGATCTGTACAAACACTATACTAGTAATGGGGGTGATCAGCGACCTATAGCGTGAGTGCGTTAGTGTACGGGCAATCTAACTCTAGCTGACCCTGGCTGGGAGGGGCGCCAACTGACATTAATATCGCTAGTGGCAGTAAGAGCTTGATCAGTGAAAAATTCTATATACTGACACTGTACTAATGACACTGGCTGGGTGACATGGACAATCAAAGGGTTAAATGTGCTACTCTAACGTGTGTGTGTATAAAATGTAGTGTTTTTAATCACAGTGTGGTGTTCTTTCTGCTCTCCCTGGAACAACAGGGAGGCAGCTAGGGGCGCTCACACCCCAGAAATAGAAAGTGACTTAGGGGTTCGTCTCTTTGCCCAGAGCCATCACTGGCCCACACATTGTAGATGGGTGGTTGGCAAGTAGTTTAAATTAAAAAAAAAACAAAAAAAAAAAAACTTAAAATGTTCTCTATTTTATTTTTTTTAACATAATTTTTCTTTTTTTTTTACTATTTAAAAAAATGCTTTCATCAGAGTAGTTCAATGTTCCCATATTAACACTGTATTATGTTATCATATTTCCACATTATTATGTTACCATATTAACATTGTACTACTCTGGGGGGTGGTCAGGGATTTTTTTTTTTTACAGTTTGCTTAGCAGGTGCAATAAAGATCATAGCAACTGCAATGCAATGTTTGCTTTGAACTGTCATGAATGGGTTAAGGTCATGACAGTTCAAAATACTTGTGATTTGTGATTGACTACAGCTAATCACATGGTACAGGGTAGGAAGGGAAGCAAAGCTGTTATGAATCAGATTGATTCATACCAGCTTTGTTGACATTGTAATTATATCCTAGATTGTAAGCTCCAAGGTAAACTATTGGCTCTATATAAATCCTGTATAATAATAATAATAATATCATTGCATAGCGATCACATAATCACTGGGTCCCAAGATCCGTATTCTGTTGTGTCCGGTGGACACAGTGGTCGTGGGAGAGGCACACCTGTGTTAGGACAGCCAGAGCAACATATCGCTGCCTGCCCGCAGTAAAAGTACTGTAGGTGGTGGGTAAGTGGTTAACCATTTTTTTTTTACCTTAGTTATAATTTTTACTGAGTTTTAGAGGTCTAGTTTATAAAAAAATTTGCTTTGCAATATTAGGTTGGGGATTACAGAATATAAATCCTAAAAAGCTGTGCGTTTCTAACAGACAACATACATGAACTCCCAATATAGTATTAATGTGCATAAAATGCACAGCAAAGCACATAAAACAAAATTAATTTACACACATTTTCAGGTATTTTCATTTTTTTCATCTGTTATGTCTAAAACAGAGAGGTGTGAATGCAGTCTTAGACAATGGTATCTGCAAGATTAAGAATGGTATTTACACCTAAGAAGTAATACTTCCAGAAAAACTGTTAATTCAGCTATGAGAAAAACAAGATGGTAAAGGTGTATGGCATGTGAACTAAACTCCTGGTACAAATAGAAAAACGGGAGTTGGTTGAAACCAGGTCCACAAAGTAACTGGACAGAAACTTTCTTCACTGCATAACATGTGGCAAATGTGTGTAAAATCTTTTTTGGTTTTAAAACTTTCCACCTGTTTGCACTTCAGTCCAAGGTAGGGTGCATGTGTTTGTACTAACTATATTTTTTCCTAAGGAAAGCTTTAAATCAAACTTAGTTTGTAAGTCATAAGGAATGTGCTTTGCATACCTCCTAGAAAGCTTTATCAAGGCCAGACTTTTAGCATGCAATGTGAATACCATGCGCAGCCCAATATGAAACATATACTGTATGTTGTGAATGGTGTGCATTGGTAAGGATGTATTATTCTCAAGACATCCAAGTATGGAAAGAATGACTGAATGGCCACAGAAAATTGTTAAGATTTAACAGGGTGTTGATACTACTGATACAATACTTTAGAAAACAAACACATAGGGGCTGATTCACTACCGCTATCACAAATTCACCAGTGCTGCACTATGGTTCAGCATTGTGAACACCACAGTGCTGAACCATACAGCCAGCAGCAAGGTCTACATCAAGGGTATCAAACTCCATTTCATCGCGGGCAGTATCAGCATTATGGTTGCCCTCAAAGGGCAGATTGTATCTGTAAGACTATATGTTCAGAGCACCCCACCCTCCATTACATCAGATGTCAAGAATCTCACACCCTCCCCAGCATCACCGTGCTCCCCCTTTGGGGGCAGAGCTGGAAAGCAGAAAGTACAGGGTCTGGAGGACGACCAGAGGAGGAGTGGAGTCAGTTACCAGAGTCTGCTGAATGCTGAGACCAGGG